TGTAAACTTCCTTTGACCAAACAGTCAACCAGCTACTAACCCGTACTAGCCAGTTATATACCAACCAGCCACTGGTCAGTACTAATAACCCCCTACTAAGCCAAACGATTCACTACTATTTGGTTTTCGGCCAAGTTAGTAAGTTGTTGATATGCGCCAGACTACTTAGTGGCCATAACACGGAAGTTCCTTCTAAACGTCCTTTGACTAAACAGTTAACCAGCTACTAGCCAGTCACTAGCCAGTTACTAACCAGCAACTAGCCAGTACTAATAACCACCTACTAAGCCCAACCACTTGCTACTTGGGTGCTCGGCCAAGTTAGTAAGAACTTGGTAACCTAGGCTGGTAACAATTTAATAGCCCACTTCTATATAAGTCCCCCTCGATAAGGGCAACCTTGGAAAAAATGGTAACCTAGCATAATCATAACCGGTAATTGGAAAGAAGAGCCACTTAGGTTAATAGCCCACTTACAAGTCCCCCTCAGCGATAAGGGTAACTTTGGAAAAAAGAGCAGCTTAGGTTAAAAGCCTAATAGCCCACTTATAAGCCCCCTCAGTGGGGGCAACCTTGTCCTCCAGTAGAGAAGTTAGAATGAAACCAATTCCCTTAAAAACCAACAGTGGAAAAACAAAACAAAAAAAACAGTCTTAACCAAATGGAAGATGACTGTCAACCTCCTGACCAACTTTTTTCTGTAGTCTATTTTCGTAGGGGAACCCTCCCAACCAAAAAAAGGGTTAAAAGGGGGCACCTAGCTGGGGCACATAATTGTTATCAGGGCTTCTACCCGTGGCTCACTTAGCTGCGCCAAGCAGCGCGACAGCTCCAGCTCCGTGTGCCGGCGCCGGGATTGACAGGCGGCCAGGCTCACGCAGAGCACCTTCCGGTTGGGCGGGGGCGGCTGGAGCTCCGCTTGGGGTGAACCCACTAAAAACTAACAATCAGAAAGGTAATGGAAAACCAGGGCCCCAGCACAGCCAATTTTCTGAAAATAGATGGCCCTGGTTGATTGAACCATCAGGTAAACCAGGAATCGCCCTCGATTGTTCAACCAAATCAGCCAAAAGGACACCTATGTCTTTGGCTGTGTCGTCTTTGGCGGGCGCCAGATCTTTTCGAGAGCAGGTGTTGGTGGAGATGTGATTTGTGATGGAAAATGATCAAACAAAACAACCCTGTGAGCACCCCATTTTGATCCGTTTTGGGTTGGAACCAAGCATTTGTGGGGCCCCCCTTGTGCGGAGGAAACCGGGCGCCCCATATGTCCTGAAACACAACCTCACCAAGCGGATGCACCCATTTATGGTTGGGATTATTTTTTACTAAGCTTCATCTACCCGGGTTTTGACTGTGGCTCACTTTACATCGGCCCAATTTTAGAACCAATTCAACCTACCCGAAAGATCCGGAAAGGGGTTGCAGTCGCGTCTGAGTCAAATGAATCTACAGCACTTGTTGGATGAGCATTTAGTTCCAGAGCTTAGTTTGAGTGCTTGGATTTAGTTTTATCACAGAAATATGTCACAGAAATATTGGTACCACAGCTTGAACATCGATATCAGAGCTTGAATGTTATGCACAAATAGCTTGTCCATGCAAGCGTAGCTTGCATTCTTAAGAAGAATACTTGCACCATACTTTTAAAAGCGCTTGGTCTTGCGAATGAAATGAGCATAGACAAGCAAGATCCTTACGATTAATAATTAGACTTGCAGCACAGCGTGCTGCAATTATCTGCAGAGCCAATGATATTTGGGTGCTGAGCATTATCAACAGCTGAGCATTTAGATGTTCAGAGTGCAGAGCACTCTCAAATCTTTTTCTGAAGCAAAGCAATAATCTGCAGCTTGCTGAGGGTGCCGCAGCCGTTCCGCAGCCGGAGCCCGTGTTAAACCCGTGCCTTGCTTTCCTTCATTGCCCCAGACACGTGTCAACCTTTTGCAGGGCGAATGCAAGCTTTAAAGAAAACACAAAACACGGGTCTGTGTTTTTTCATCTAACCCGTTCTTGCGGGCTGGTTCGAAAGACAAATTGAAAGAAAACCCGAAACAAATTCCGCTGCAAACGGCACGCCCACACAGTCGTCCCCGCTTATGACCAGAGGCCAAAGCCGGAAGGCATGGCCAATTGCTTGAAGTACCCGTCTCCCATGTCCAAAACCCCAAGTACTGGCAAAACCCGTTTCCCAATCGGGGGCGAGCTGGTCCTATAGTTTTGCTGCCTTTGGCAACAACTCAAGCGTCAAACGCATGGAAGCTCAAATCGCCGGGCCTCAGCGTTGCCGGGGTCGACCGCGTACAACAAGCGCAGCTCAGTACCGGTTGAAAGGAACAAAACACAGCGGTTGTCTCGAATTTTAGAGTTACTAAGAATGCCTTGCCTTAAGAAAAAACACAACAACAAACAAGTACCCTGAAAAGGTGACTGCAACCCCATGGAGACGGTTGACATGATGAATTCGGATAGGTGTTTCTCAGAATAAGGGTACCTCAAAATGGCAAAGGTATCCTTCTGGTTTCCCTCAAACAGCAACAGGGGGTTGAGAGAGCACAACATATGTCAGACAGCGTGAGAAATGCGAGAAAGATTGGAAAGTCTGAGAAATGTGAGGTAGCATGAGGAATGTGAGAGAGTATCAGAAATGTGAGAGAGTATGAGGAGTTTGAGAGAGTATGAGAATTGTGAGAGTAAGATATTTTTTAGAGTATAATTTTAGAGAGTATGAGATGAGACATTTGAGAAAAACAAATGATAGTTTTGAGAAAGTATGAGAAATGACAGAACGTATGAGAAATGTGAGAAAGTACGAGAAATGTGAGATAGCGTGATAATGTGAGAAAGTATGAGAAATGTGAGAGAGAGTATGATACATTTAAGAAAGTATGAGAGATTGGAGGAAGTATGAGGCATGTGAGCAATTGTGAGGAATTTGAGAAAGTATGTAGAAAAAAACACAATACAAGTGTGATGGAGTATGCTAAACTAGTTGCCTTTCGGCTTTCCTTCATCTGGGTGTTCCTCTCACATTTCTCATGCTTAATGTTGACCCCGGATGAATAAACCCCTGTTTATTAATATGGGGGTGTTCCCCTCCAAAAGTGATGATTCCCACTAAAACCAGGGACACCACCATATTATAAAACAGGGGGATATTAATCCGGGGTCAACATTATTGTCTCGAAAAAGAGACCTGCCATGCCCCAGCCCTAGCCTCTGATCCAGCCCGCCTCCCCGTCAAAGGCTGGCAGGCAACGGTGGCCCCTCCGCACAGCCTGGCGCCAACTCGCTGAGAGACCGAACCACAACTAGGTCCTCCAGTGGAGAGGTTAGAATAAGGGCACCCGTGTTTTTTCCGGTTTTTTTTTTTTTTTTTTTTTTTCTGTAGTCTATTTTAGTAGGGGAACCCTCCCAACCAAAAAAGGGGTGAAAAAGGGCAGTACTGGGGGTCCTAGACAAAAGAAGAAAGGGTAAGGGAGAACGAAACTTCGTGCAGATTGTAGCTTCAACAGCCTGTGGGCTTCTTTTCTTTGAAAGAAACCAGGGGTTGGTGGTTTGGGTTTGTCTCAAGGAAACCCCCAACATACTGTGGATGGTTACGAAATCCGTTCGCACCACTTTGAAACCAGGGGAAACCGTGGTTTGTTGGTATTTACAGGGGAAGCATCATTCTGGGGTTCTTAGGTAGTGCAGGACTTTGTGCATCCACAGCGCAATTGGAAAAAAGATTGCGACTTCTCCCCCGGCATGTCCACCATTTCAGGTCCATTGAAAGTCATGCCCATACTGTGGATGGACGACATCCTGCGCCACTTAAGAAGCAATGGAACGATGATTCAATCCCTGCAAATACCGACAAACCACGGTTTCCCATAAATTCTTGGGATGCGCAGGCGTTCGTCCATCCACAGTACGCAGAACACCAAAACACCGGCAAAACACAAGGGGACACCTTGGTGTCCCCAAAGCTACCACAAAGCCTCCCCTTCCAAGGTTTGGAAGGAACCTCGGAAGGGTTCTTTTCGCCTTGTCTGCCAAGTAAACCGGATGTCTTTGATACGCAGAACCCAAAATCGCCCAGGCAACCGGACTAGATGAGGCCGAACGGCCGGCGGTTCCAAAGCATGGAGCCGAAGATAACCAAAGATGCACAAGCAGAAACAAGTTGCGCATACCCTCCCCCAGACGAACATGGAAGTTCCCAGGACCCCTTTGGAAGACTTGGTTCCAGTTACAGACGCCTTCTGGGAGCTTCCATGTTAGTCACCAACAAATGGCCACAACTCCAACTGTTCAAGGAAGGCACTGCTAAAGGCGGTACGTGTGAGCCAGTGAGAATCCTCGAAACGCAAGCCGCTGTTGTCCTTCAATCGCTGAATTCGCAACTCTTCCCAACGTCATGGACGTGGACCATGTCAGGTTTGGGAAAATGATAGCCATCCTTTTGAAACGGGCTCTGGTCGCACGGTGACCGGCAAGAAGCATGCAACATTCCGCGGCAATCCCACCACTACGACAACAACGATGGCCGACACCACCAACAACGCCGCCGCCGCCACCACCACCACCGCCGCCGCCGCCACCACCACCACCACCACCACCACCACCACCATTGTCTGTGCTCATGAACAAAATTAGTTTAACAATGCCCTATTTGGGTATGTGTTTTCAAAGGGAGGGAAAACTAGTTTTCGTTTTGTCTCCCTTCAAAGTTAATCGAAAAGGGGGATACCCCCGAACCACACACACACACACCTCCTACGTGGTCACACCTCCTACGTGGTCACTTCCTTCCAAAACTATTCTGGAGTGTCTCAAAATCTAACTGGGAACCTTCAAAATGGGTGATGTTCCTCTGGTTTTCCAAGAGAAAAAACCGGACAACGAACAACATGGTTCCTTCTGGTTTCCCTTTGGTTTCCCTCTGTTGTCCTCACAAGATGATTAAAAACCAACAAGAGAAAGACCCACACACACACACATATTTGTTTGAGCCCATCCTGGCAACCGATCGATTCGCAACGCCTCCGCAGCCTTCGTTGACAGCTCCGCTTGCAGCTCTGGGATGTTCACCTCCACCTCCTCCCGACCCAAAGGAGTGTACCCGAAGAAAGAGTTTCACCATTGGGGGTCGGTTTAAAGACAGCCAACAACAAGCCAGCAATTCATTCGAGTAACGGGAAGCCAACAACAAGCCATCGATTCATTTCAGTTGCTTACCCCTTAAAACTCCAAGCCCTGGGGAAGTTAATCTTTTACAGACATATAGCCCATGTTACCCCCAAAACGTTGAAATGTTGTGTTTTTAAGATGTAAGGTTGGGGTCCCGAAAAATGAGCTCATGCTGCAACGTCCCAAGCCGCGGGCTCGTGAGCTCAAGCCACTTGCCAGTCTGACGCCACTCAGTTGGCACTGCTATCGCCACATCTCTATCGCTACGGTTACGGGTGCGTCTTCTTTGACAGGGATCCTTACATTATACACCTGAACACTGCCTTGTAAATGGTGGGGTCCCGTTATTTTGGTGTTGAAAAAGCCATGTTTCAACTGGTTGCAAAATGTATCTTTTAAGGAGACCCCTTTTTGGTTGATAAAGGGAAACCAACAGGAAACCAACATCCGGGGAGAAAAACAACGCGCACACACACACACACACCTCTATTCCCAGACTGACATTGAAGGGTCTACTTGGCATCTCTTTGGCCACACAGCAAATGACGGTAAGAGATTGACCGTTCTTCACATCAGTCCAAACCGATAATGAAAACCACAAAACCCTAAAGCTTAAAGCCTGAGGGGACGGCTCTTCCAGCACCGGGAATGGCTTCATTGAGCACATGACTGAGAGCTCGGCTCTCAGTCATGAGAACTACCCAGCGGCGCTCGGTGCTACCAATACGGCTCTAGATTGCCAAGGGTTATATAGGTCCTCACAAATATCCCGGAACCACGAGCGGAAAAACCTGAGCAAATTAGCCAAGAGGTGGCTTTGGGTGTCGTTCGTGTTTAGATGCCACAGAATGCTTGGTCAAGGGTGGCTGAAACTCTCATTCAAATAGAACAAGCAATAGAGAGGCCTGAAAAATGTAAGGGGCGACTCCTTTTAGATGGCTGAAGAGAAACCATCCCAAATCAACCAGCCCAGAGGTTGCGATTTGCTGGATGGGAAGAAGGACCCGCCTCAAAAGTGGTTGGTGGACGTGAATCCCCACCTAACTAACTGATATCCACCAAGGGGTCCATGCTCAAATCTGGAGCGAAGTCAAGTGCCCTCTTCTGTACGTGGACCCAAAATACTGGCGTTCTTGCTGATGTTACTGCAAAAGTGTGCCCTCAAAACATGACGCACAAATCTTGGCTTCTGATTCTGTTTCATATGTAGGCTACCCTAAAATATAGCATGGCATGTTTGGAGGAGACTCCAGAAATAGAGGGCAAGCAGCTTGAGCAAGGCGCGGTAAGCTCTTCGTGTGGAACCAGTCGCTTCCCGCGTTTAACACGGGGCCAAGTCTGTCAGCCGGACACAAAAGAACTCCCAGGAGTTCTGTTGTAGCAGCAGCAGCAGCCGCAGCAGCAGTCAACTTGAAGAAGAACGAGAAATAAAACAAAACCCAAGAAGTTTAGTACCGGGGTCCAGGAAAAGACAGCAACAGCTAAATAACTCCAAAAATCAAATCTGCAAAATGTGGATTTCCTCAAGAAAATGACCTCCATCCAACCTTGCGTTCCTTTTGAAAGGACAAAAGCTTTGGTCTCCTGCTGCAGCAGCTGGTGGACTTTGCCGCCGACCCTGGGGTAGCCGCCCGGCCCCCGAATTCGCGACTTCCGCGGGCGCGAAGGCCGGCTGCGCCGGAGCCGGCGCTTGGACGGCCAGCGCCTCAATCGGAGCGACGGTAGATGACCTAAACTGGATAGAAATACCCTCCACTTGACATGGAACCTGACGTTTGGGGGTCCTCAAGGTTGATCGACATTCCCTTGGGCCCCAAAGTGACCATGCGATACTCGGTGGTTTCCCTAATGCCCACCCATGTAAAGGACTTTTGATCAACCCCCAAGTAGATGAACTAAACTGGTTGGAAACTGGTTGGCATAAAAAAACATCCAAACTAGTGGAACCCATCTATGTCTAGCCAAACTAACCTAAAAGAGACACCTAGGGTCAGGATGGGCGGATGCCCATGCCACATTGCAGCACTGCAAGTAGGTAAACGAGGGAACTCCCTGATTTGCCGTAACTTGTGATAGTTTTGTGGGTGGGTGTGGTTGGCTTACTTGCAATATGGCATGCATCGTCCCCCCCCCCCTTGGCCTACTTGAGTAGGTCATAGCCCATGGTAGGGAACTGGGGCCCCAGGTTTCCCGAATGACCCTGGTTACAAGTGGGCCGAACCTCCAAGCACTCAAGCACTCAGTCAGAAACTGGCCTTCACATGGCCTCAGATCGAAATTTCAGCCACATGGCTCTGAGACAGTTATTATATAAAAGGCTGTGGCTCAAAAAACCAGTGCACAAAATGGCACCCAAGGGTAAATGGAGCCAAAGACCAAAACCTGCGGTTTGCCCTGGCTCTTAAATTTTGAGCCACACCTAAAACGCTACTCAAAATAGCCACTTGCTTGAAGCCTGGCATCCATGTGAGCAGTGTGGGAATTTGGAGTAGCGGGTACTTTAAGGGCGTACACCATTTTGCGGGAAGGCTGGCACTAAGGGAGACGACTAAACCCAAAGTGGGCGGCAAGTGTGCCATCTACTTTCGTCACTTCATCCTGGAAGCAATTGGACCGGGTGGGTTTGTCGCAAACTTTGAAACTGAAATTCGTCTGATCATAAGACGCGTGGGCAAGGTCGCAAGAGGGTCTCCACGAAACAACCATTTTGAGCCCCCTGGAAGCAAGACTATTTCCAGTACCCAGAGGCTCCAATTCGATCAATGGGCCCTCAAGCAGCCGGGCTTTGAGACCCCCAAACACCGAAGCGGGTGTCCAATGAAAAAATCGGGTCTTCCATTGAAAGCCGAAGCCGGGGGTCTCTGGGTAGTGACAGTTTCCTCTTAAAACCAAAAGGGGAACCTACAAATCTTACTTTCAGCCAGCGGACGCATGTTGTTCCTGTTGGCCAACTTCCTGGTCTCCGTCGCCCAGCTGCAAGTCTCCTAGTTGGGCGACCAGCCATGTCTTACGACAACCGTGACTGAGTGAGCGAGGGAGTGAGCGAGCGAGGGAGTGAGTGAGCATTGAGTGAGCATGACCCCATGTGAATCAACCCGAGTTTGTTCATAGGGGCGTGCTTTTCCCGGAGTGAAATGTGGCGAACCAGACCACTTTTGAAGGGGCCCCCACCCCCTATACCTAAGCTGGCTGATTGATCAATATGGGGTCAACCAGAAACCATATATGCACGCTTTACATATTGCAGGGGAACAAGGGAATTGCTTATTTACACTCTGGTCTACTCTGGTTTTGGGGGTGGCTAGGTCCTCCAGTAGAGAGGTTCGAATAAGGCAACCTCCCCAAACAAGTTGGTAAACGGGCACTACTGGGGGACCTAGTTGAGACTCAAAGCAGACCCATCCAAAGCCACCAGCCGTTCCCTGCCCTCTCGCTGGGCCTCCCCGCGCCGCTCGCGCCGCGGCGAGAGCTCGCGCCCGCACGGAGATGGCGGAGCCATAGCCGGGCGCCTGACAAAGGATTTGGGAGGTCCGGGAACCCTCGGAAGCGATGCGGAGAAGCCACATGCCCATGGCTCAAAAAAGGTGTAAAAAGAATGGCAACCCCAGCGGTTTATTTAAAATTGAGCCATGCCCAAATCTAACATCCGCAAGGACGTGAGGAAGCGTGGCCTCTTTATCCCATAGAAGTGGACATTTTGGGGGCCTGAGGATGGCGGTTGGGGCTTGGTTGGGCTCGAGGGTAGTTTTGGTTGCCACTTGTGGCCATGGGGTGACTTACTCATCTGGAGGTTCTCAAAATGGCGGACCCGTTTTGGTTGGTATAGAAAGGGAAACCAAAAATTAACCCCCGCAATTTTGGTAACGGACCGATTCCTATTTTGCGAACGCCCTTTCTGGGCAAGTTTCCTGGAAGTGTCGGAATCCCAAGTGAATGGAGTGAATGGAATAAAACCAATCTAAACCAGCGGAACCAGTCTATTCTATTTTCTAAACTAACCTACCAAGGACACCTAGGACTGCAAGTCTCGAACTCAGATGCCCAGTGGCCATAGGAAAAAAGGGGCATCCTGGATGCTTTTTTGGTTGGTTGACTTTAAACGGAAACCCTTGCCAAAACAAATTGAAAAAAGGGGCGCAATCCACTCGGCAACTGGGCGAAGTAAGGCATTCTGAAGTAGAGGACCTTGGATGAGCTCCTCCCCCTTTGGCCCCCACAGGACTTACCATCGGCCCGTAGAAGAAACCCTGGTTGAGATGGTGAGATGGCTGTGGGTCAAAAATAGGTGCCCAAAATGGAACCCTGGTACATGAAAACATCGACTGACACCTGCGGTCCCATGGTAATTTCATTTTGACCCATACCCAAATATACTTCTCACTCCCCAACGAGTGGCTTGGCCAAAAAGTCACCAAAGGTTTTACTTACCACTATGGTCAAGACCCCCAAAGTGACTAACGTTCAACTCAGAAAATGAGCCGACATTTCCTCGAAGCGACACATGGAATCTCGAGTCTGTCTCTGAACAGGGGGCAACACGCCTCTACAGGACTTTCAAGTTCCGAAGCGGATACGACAACTCTGAATACTGTAGATGGATACGCAATCCGTTCGGCCGCCACGAAATGAAGCCATGGTTGAATCCACTGTCTGTTGGTAATTCATTCCAGGGATTCTTAGGTTGCGCCGGATTTCGTCCACCCGCAGTACGTTTCGCCACACTTCCTCGGGAAGCGACACGAGGAATTACCTCGGGCGCCTAGAGGAAGCGGATCTCATTCGCTATGTTTGTGGGGGGGGTAGCTGGACGCTGAAGGGGCAACTGGTTAACTGGAATCTTCGCCCTAAACGGAAGAACCACCTGTCATTGTGTAGCCTCTACGGGAAAACCACTGAAAAAAACCGCTTGAGAAAGGAGAAAAGAAAGGTTGTGGTGGTCACGCTTCTCTTCACCCTTTCTCAAGTGGCCCTGGCGAATGGTGCGTCCCAAAGCAAGCCGCGTGGAACGATAGAGCCTGAGTTAGTAGAACGGGGGCTTTGTTTGAGGTTGGATGCTTGTATGCCAGGGTTTCCCTTCAAAGCAAGGTCCAACAAGAACATCTCTTGAGACACACCTAAGAAATTGCATTCAAGCTTATCAAGCAAGCACCTGTTTCCTTCACATCCAACTAGTGGTTTTATCTTCTTCTTTTGTATCTGGTCTGCCCACGGCCAAAAAATAGGTGAATGTTCGTCCAAGTTAGTAAGTTGTTACCTAAGTTACCCACTTTTGAGTCCCCTCCCCCCAGTGGGGTTAACCTGAATATCGTGGAGGTTGAACCCGAGTGGCTGCACGTAACGCTCGAAGATCCAAGGGGAAAACCGCCGGAAAGCCAGGGGTCTTACCAAGGCCAGCTCCCCACGTCGGTTCAGTCAACTGTGGGCTCTGGTGAAACATGGGGGGTTGATCAAAAGGTTCGTGATACATGGGATGACCATTGCATTGGTTGGTGAACCATGGATCGCCATGAAACTTCACTTGCCCAGACGGCAACTGGAAATACAAGGTGATCATTTTTTGGGACCGTGACTAAACATGGACCAAACCTATGAAAATCAAAAGATCAGATCCGGGCGACTCGCTTTGGCCTGGAGAATGGGAACCCTTATGCTCTACAACGTCTGACGTGTTCCTTGTTATTTGGAAGCTGCGCTAAGGTCTTTGGAGGGTTTGATCCTGTAGGAGCTTCCTTTTCGTGTCTTCATTCCTCACCATTTAAGGAAGAGTCGCCTTAAACTTGGTACCCCCTAAAATCCTTGTGGGATCCTTATTCACTTTGTCTTGCGGGTGCGTCTTGTGTGTCGATCACTTACTTTTCTTCGCTACGAAACGATGGGCAGGGCAGTTGTTTCTACGTAACTCCCAAACCAAATCAAACCACCAACTAAACGGAAGCTGATCTGTTCTGATGGCTCCATAGGGAAAGTCTAAGAATGGGACGGGGGACCCCTAAGCTATGAAGGGCATAGCCAACCACAGACAAACGCCCCTGGTGAAACCCACGAATCAAACTGGGTGGCCAATCCTTGGCACGTGAGATCCAAAAACCTAACTAATTCTCCGCCCGCAATAACTACATACAGAACCAAAAACAAACCAAAACAAAAGAATCACATGCCAAGAACGATGAAGTGAAGCAGCCCTGGACTCTTGGCCCCTCCGTCGCTTGCCGGAAAAAACATCGATCCCCTTTGCCTTGGCGTAGGCCATGGAACGATCTAATTTCCGGCGCGCGGCCAGGTGCTCAAAGCAAAGCGGGGGGCTGAGGTACACTTCTTTTTGGACGGGTTTGATGCGGTCCCCGTTTTTGAGGCCGTTGAACTCGCGCTTTAAGGGGACGTCCAATGTCGAAAACCCGCCATATGGGGGGGAGGGGGGGCTTGGGGCTTGGGGGGGTTTGGGGGGGGGGGTTGGGGGGGGGTTGGGGGGGGGGGGGATCCGGTTTTCTCCTCTGTGGGTTTTGTTCATGGCCAATGTCTGGGACCTTGTAAACGCTTTGTCGCCTCCTCCAACTTTGTCGCCTCTAACTGGGCGTGTTTGTTTCTTTGCTTGCTTGCTTGTTTGCTTGTTTGTTTTGTTGTTTCTTTCTGTGTTTGTTGATTTGCTTGCTTGTCTGTTTGTTTGTTGGTTCGCTTGCTTGTTTGTTTCTATTTGCTTGTTTTGTTTTGGTTTCTTTATTTACTCTCTCCTTTCCTTCCATGGTTTTTTTTGTTGGGGGGGGGGGGAAGCCACGACGTGTTCTTCGGCTCGGTGGCCTTCAGAGGGCTCGAGCCGGCCCGCACGGCACGCATCCCAGGGGACTGACATATCTAGAAAAGCATGTGTGTTTTGCTTCTTTTTTTCAAATCTAACGGCACATGTTTTTTGTTTTTGCGTTTCTTTTTTTTCGCAAAAATAAATGGCAATAATAATAACTGCAACAAGTCTCTTTTGCTTATCTGATGCATTAAGAAAAGAATAATGGTAGAGGACGTGGGAAAAATATGCCATCGGGCCTCCTGAAAGGAGACAACCCAAGGATCAAACATTTTCGCGCAGCCACTTGAGCTGTCGCAGCAATTCTGGGTATTAGATGGATCAAATATTTGAAACCCGCGATCTGGCGGGCGTTCCTCAAAATCATGAACCCCCTTTTGGGGTTCCCTGGTTTTGAGAAACACCCGTCTGCTTGTCTTTGGGAGCTGTCCTGAACCGCTGCCCACGACATCCTCGTAAAAAAAAGTCCTGGCCTTGCCTTCCAGTGACCGACGTCTCCAGAATTCAAAAGGGGTCGTAATGGTCAAGGTGTGTGCGTGTATGCGTATATATACTTATATAGTGCGTATATACGTATATATAGTGTATATATATATATAGTGTATATATATAGTATATATATATATATACATAGTGTATATATATATATATATCTAGTGTATGTATATATAATATGAATATAATATGAGTATATGCCTATAATATATGTGTACGTCATAAGGCCCCCCTCCCCCTGGCACGCCAAAGACAGCAACGCTTTTCTTGTGGCTTCCCTTGAATTACAATCCTAACAAGAAGGTCCGCACATCTTGGCATTTAAGCAGCTTCCTGGTAGTCTATCGTTGGTTTGTGGGGGACATTGGGGGGGCCCACCCAAACTTCGCACAAGAACCAAGAACCAGGGGCCGAGGGGCCGGTTCGAAGAGGACACCCGAAAGCACACACTCCAAAGGACACAACCGAAAATGTCAGGCGGTCCCCTGCTCCTTTTTGTGCATATGGGATGTGGTTGTCAAAAGAATTGGGTAACCCCAAAATGGAACCTTGGTAACTGGAAACATGGCTAAAACCTGCGGTTCATATCCTGGTGGTTTAATTTTTTGACCCACACCCATATGGCCATGGGTCAAAATCCCGTACCCCCAGTGAACATCTCAATCCCCACCAAAACAGACTAAAGTGGGTGGCGAATTCACCTACCAGCCAAAATGGGATCTCATTGGTTTTGACAACCACAGCCAAATATGAGCTCCCGCATGGTTCGAACCATACCTGGACTATCACCCCCCCTCTTGACCTCCCGCCTTGCAGAGAGGCAGGCAGACCTCCCAGGCACAGCCTCGGATCGATTTTTTTGCCCCAGCTGCAAGCTATGGCTTTGGTCTCTGCCCCCAGAAATCGGCACTGGGCTGGTTTGGGGCAGCTTTCAAGGAGAATACCGGAGGGTTTTAGAGGGTTCCGGAGGGTTTCGGAGGGTTCCGGAAAGTTCCAGGGCTGTACCAGCTACCAGCCGGGCTTATGAAATTCAAGGTAGAATTAAAATCAGGAGTGGCCCTTTCGGGGACATCAACCCCTGGGTCTAAGTCTACTTTGGTCAAAGACGGAACACGCTGGGATAAAAAAAGCCGCTGCTTTCCGCTGGGCTTGTCTTTAGCTTTAGATAGGGGAACCCCCAGAAAGGGGATTCATGCCTTTGGCTTCCATCCGATAAAAGGGACCCTCCCACAACGGCAGACGAGAAACGCCCTCGAAGGCATGTGCAACGGGCGCTTGGCTGGGCCCGAGGTTTATCCCAGGGCCTTAAGGAGAATTGTCATGGGACGGGGGGCTTCAAAGCCAAGAGCAAGAGAATGATGCGCGGCATTCTTTTTCGCCCTGACATGTCCGGATAGAGCACTTACAACTCAGCTTCCCTCTAATCGGGAATTGAAACCGCTGGCTTTTGCAGAGGGCACATGGGACACCCCTCCTTAACCACCAAACCACCGGGCTCCAAACCACCAATTAGAGGGAAGCTGAACAACCACAGGCCCTTGAGTGGGTCCTTCGCAGAAAAAGAAAAAGCAAAAAAAAGAAAAGAAAGGCAACAAATCGGAGAAACAACAAACTAAAACTAAAACCAAAAAACAACAAAAAAAAAACAAAACACCACGGCCGCGAAACCACTTCGGCCCCAGCGATGGCACGAAGGCGCGCTTGGGCCTGCTGTCCTCAGCTTAGGAGCTCGATTTTTCCGCGGCTGAAGCTCGGAGTTGTGCCCTACCTATGGCTGTGGCGAATTCAAAAAACCGGAATTCCAAAACGGGTTGCCCGATCGGTCAGTGGACACATGGGTACCAAAACCTGCGGTTTGCCCCTCCTGTTTAATTTTGAGCCACAGCCACATTGACATGGAGCCCGATGCTCCTCTGCAAATTTCGTGGGGTTAAGGAGTTCCATGTACCCAGACGCTCCAATTCGATCAATTGGCTCTCAAACAGCCGGGTTTTGAGACTCCCAAACACCGAAGCGGGGTGTCAAATCGAGGGGTCGGGTCTTCCATTGAGCCCCAGTAGCCTCTGGGTAGAGAATATGTAGGGGAGGAGTTCGCCCATCCGTTGCTAACAGTTCTTTCTCGACTTTTGGGATATGTCAGCACCAAACAAGTCTAACCGTCTTTCTGACTATGAAAACCCACCGGTCGAAACCGAGACGACCTGATGGACAAATCCGCTTCACACTGGGTAGCTGATTTATGCCAATCTTTCGACTGTTAATCCAATACAGGTGCAGGATTGTCCGTGCCACCGGTGACCTTCCCCTGAAATGCTCGAACATCCAAAAAGGAAGTATCATGGTGGAGATTAAGGGCAGCTGAGTCACGATCGAAACCCGGTATCAAAATGGTCTGCTCAGAACCATGTAAAGAATTAGAATTGTGGCTGCATCCATGTCCGGTTGGGACTGTCCCTTACTAACCTTCATCTACCCGAGTTTTGATTGACCAAACGCATGAACTATCTATGTCCCTGGCCTTTTGGGCCCCTTGAAACATCCAACATCCCCCACTCCAGCCACAAAGGGGTTCATACCAGGGGGTTAGTGATTGGCTTACACATTCATCCGTTGGCTTTTGTTCATGTGTCAACCCCAAGACACTTCAAGAGACCGCCAAACGCCCAACCCCCAGCTGCTAGAAACAAGCTCAAATAGCTGCAGCTCGGCGGTGTCCTTCATGTTGATCCACAACGGAACATTGGACCCCAGGGTGGCCACTAGCAGATTTACTTCCTGGAAGAAATGAGCAAGTGTTTCCAGTAGTCATGGATGCCCTTTAAAACTAACGAAAGGGAGTGAAAACACACATATTCATTTCAGCAAATGGAATGGTTCGCCGCCCGCACACCTTCGCCCGGTTTGGGCTTTGCCCAATCAACGGGCACGGCTTCCGATCGAGCGGCCAAAAGTCTTGGGATTTGGGGGACGCTTCTTGGCTTGACCAGAAAACTTTGGGGCCTCGCTCGTGGCCGCATTGGCTCTAACATGTTCAAAACCCAAAAAGTGCTTCAAGTCCGTGACCTCGAGCCCCTTCTAGGTCCTCCAGTAGAGAGGTTAGAAACGGTTAGAATAAGGCTACCAACTTTTTCAGGACGTCCGTTTTAGTAGACGAAAACCCAACCCCAACCAAAAAAGGGGTGCGAAAGTTGGCATTTGCCATGGGGCCATTTTGGGTACCATTTTTTGGGCCACAGCCATCTGAAAGTGTTTCAAGTCCCTGAACTCGAGCCCCTTACAGCCCTCGTCGCTCCAACAATCTGCGCATTTTCCAATTGGCAAAAAACTCGCATGCACAAACTGTCACGAAGCAACATCCTCAACCCCCCCGTTAAATGGTTGGCTCAAGGGAAACCCACCCCAAATTAAACTTCACCGCCCGCCCGCTTCTCCACGCGGGCCCCTTGCCGGCGCCGGCGCCGAGACCGCGCGTTCCGGCGTCGTGGCGGGTGGGAGCTTGGGCTCCGCCTCGGGCAGTTGGTGCTCCAGATATCGGTTTTCACCTGTGGTCCGGTTGAAAAATAGAACATTCCCCTAAAATGGGTGTTTGTCAAAAAATTATGGGGTGATGTCTAATTTGAAACACAGGGTGGCTGTATATCATTTGCACGGACCTCAGAATTCCCCCTAAAAATTGGTGTTCGTCCCAAAATTATGGGGTGATGTCTAATTTGCAAAACAGAGTTTATGGGGTGATGTCTAATTTGAAACACAGGGTGGCTGTATATCATTTGCACGGACCTCAGAATTCCCCCTAAAAATTGGTGTTCGTCCCAAAATTATGGGGTGATGTCTAATTTGCAAAACAGAGTTTATGGGGTGATGTCTAATTTGAAACACAGGGTGGCTGTATATCATTTGCACGGACCTCAGAATTCCCCCTAAAAATTGGTGTTCGTCCCAAAATTATGGGGTGATGTCTAATTTGCAAAACAGAGTTTATGGGGTGATGTCTAATTTGAAACACAGGGTGGCTGTATATCATTTGCACGGACCTCAGAATTCCCCCTAAAAATTGGTGTTCGTCCCAAAATTATGGGGTGATGTCTAATTTGCAAAACAGAGTTTATGGGGTGATGTCTAATTTGAAACACAGGGTGGCTGTATATCATTTGCACGGACCTCAGAATTCCCCCTAAAAATTGGTGTTCGTCCCAAAATTATGGGGTGATGTCTAATTTGCAAAACAGAGTTATGGGGTGATGTCTAATTTGAAACACAGGGTGGCTGTATATCATTTGCACGGACCTCAGAATTCCGCCCCTAAAAATGGGTGTTTGTCCCAAATTATGGGGTGATGTCTAATTTGAAACACAGGGTGGCTCTGTATACCATTTTCACGGACCCAGAATTCCGACCCTAAAAATGGGTGGTTTCAAAAAAATAGGGTCGATCTAATTTGAAACACAGGGTGCTGTATATCTATCATTTGCAACGACCTCCAGAATTCCGCCCCAACAAATGGGTGATTGTCCAAATTATGGGTGAATGTCAATTTTAAACACAGGGTGGCTGTATATCATTTGCACGGACGCTCAGAATCCCTCCCCTAAAAATGGGATGTTTTGGCCAAATTCTGGGGTGATGATCCTAATATTGAAACACGGGTGGCTGTATATCATTAGCACGGACCTCAGAATTCAAATCCGCCCCTAAAAATGGGTGTTAGTCCCAAATTATCGGGGTGATGTCTAAATTTGAACCACAGGTGGCTGTATATCATTTGCACGGACCTCAGAATTCCGCCCCAACAAATGGGTGTTTGTCCCAAATTATGGGGTGATGTCTAATTTGAAACACAGGGTGGCTGTATATCATTTGCACGGACCTCAGAATTCCGCCCCTAAAAATGGGTGTTTGTCCCAAATTATGGGGTGATGTCTAATTTGAAACACAGGGTGGCTGTATATCATTTGCACGGACCTCAGAATTCCGCCCCTAAAAATGGGTGTTTGTCCCAAATTATGGGGTGATGTCTAATTTGAAACACAGGGTGGCTGTATATCATTTGCACGGACCTCAGAATTCCGCCCCTAAAAATGGGTGTTTGTCCCAAATTATGGGGTGATGTCTAAAACACAGGGTGGCTGTATATCATTTGCACGGACCTCACAATTCCCGCCCCAAAATGGGTGTTTGTCCCAAAATTATGCGGTGATGTCTAATTTGAAACACAGGGTGGCTGTATATCATTTGCACGGACTTTACAATTCCGCCCCTAAAAATGAGTTTTTGTGCCAAAATTATGGGGTGATGTCTAATTTGAAACACAGGGTGGCTGTGTATCATTTGCACGGACCTCACAATTCCCCCTAAAAACGTGTGTTTGTCCCAAAATTATGGGGTGATGTCTAATTTGAACCACAGGGTGGCTGTATATCATTTGCACAGACCTCACAATTCACCCTAAAAAATGGTGTTCGTCCCAAAATTATGGGGTGATGTCAAATTTGAAACACTGACAAAATTATGGAGTGATGTCTAATTTGAAACACTGTATATCATTTGCACGGACCTCAGAATTCCGCCCCAACAAATGGGTGTTTGTCAAAAAATTATGGGGTGATGTCTAATTTGAAACACAGGGTGGCTGTATATCATTTGCACGGACCTCAGAATTCCGCCCCAACAAATGGGTGTTTGTCCCAAATTATGGGGTGATGTCTAATTTGAAACACAGGGTGGCTGTATATCATTTGCACGGACCTCAGAATTCCGCCCCTAAAAATGGGTGTTTGTCCCAAATTATGGGGTGATGTCTAATTTGAAACACAGGGTGGCTGTATATCATTTGCACGGACCTCAGAATTCCGCCCCTAAAAATGGGTGTTTGTCCCAAATTATGGGGTGATGTCTAATTTGAAACACAGGGTGGCTGTATATCATTTGCACGGACCTCAGAATTCCGCCCCTAAAAATGGGTGTTTGTCCCAAATTATGGGGTGATGTCTAATTTGAAACACAGGGTGGCTGTATATCATTTGCACGGACCTCAGAATTCCGCCCCTAAAAATGGGTGTTTGTCCCAAATTATGGGGTGATGTCTAATTTGAAACACAGGGTGGCTGTATATCATTTGCACGGACCTCAGAATTCCGCCCCTAAAAATGGGTGTTTGTCCCAAATTATGGGGTGATGTCTAATTTGAAACACAGGGTGGCTGTATATCATTTGCACGGACCTCAGAATTCCGCCCCTAAAAATGGGTGTTTGTCCCAAATTATGGGGTGATGTCTAATTTGAAACACAGGGTGGCTGTATATCATTTGCACGGACCTCACAATTCCCGCCCCAAAATGGGTGTTTGTCCCAAAATTATGCGGTGATGTCTAATTTGAAACACAGGGTGGCTGTATATCATTTGCACGGACTTTACAATTCCGCCCCTAAAAATGAGTGTTTGTGCCAAAATTATGGGGTGATGTCTAATTTGAAACACAGGGTGGCTGTGTATCATTTGCACGGACCTCAGAATTCCCCCTAAAAACGTGTGTTTGTCCCAAAATTATGGGGTGATGTCTAATTTGAACCACAGGGTGGCTGTATATCATTTGCACGGACCTCACAATTCACCCTAAAAAATGGTGTTCGTCCCAAAATTATGGGGTGATGTCAAATTTGAAACACTGACAAAATTATGGAGTGATGTCTAATTTAAAACACAGGGTGGCTGTATATCATTTGCACGGACCTCACAATTCCCTCTAATTTGGTGGGGTAATGTCTAATTTGAAACACAGGGTGGCTGTGTATCATTTGCACGGTCCTCAGAATTCCCCCTAAAAATGTGTGTTTGTCCCAAAATTATGGGGCGATGTCTCATTTGAAACAGGGTGGCTGTATATCATTTGCACGGACCTCGCAATTCCCCCCTAAAAATGCGTGTTTGTCCCAAAAATATGGCTACAAATTGGTGATTGTCCCTAATTTGAACCACAGGGTGGCTGTATATCATTTGCACGGACCTCGGAATTCCCCCTAAAAATGGGTGATTGTCCCAAAATTATGGGGTGATTCGTCTTTTTTGTGGGTAGTTTGAGCAGACCCTCCCGAAATGAAGAAGTGGAACCCGGTCGAATGTTCGGTGAGTCAGCTGGTCTGAAAATCCACAGGGTTGCGGCAATCTTTCACGCACCCGGTTTGATTTCCTGTTCGCAACTCTAAAAAGCAGCGCATAACCATACCCATCGACTTTGGGTTCTGCGCAAGTTGTCATACATGTGTGCTTAGGCTAGGTCCTCCAGTGGAGAGGTTACACTAAGGGTGCCCTTTTTCTGTAGTCTATTTTAATAGGGGAACCCTCCTGCCAAAAAAGGGTAAAAGCTTGCACTACTGGGGGACCTAGTAGGCCTTACAACAATCCTTGGCAAACCAGCGGCAGTCGAGCCCCTTTATAGTGGCGAATGGGAATCGATGTGTCCGCTGCTCAAGTGACCAACAACTTGTCGCTGCGCCGGCATGACGCGCCAACTTCTCTTCGAACGGTCGCTTAGACTCGCTGGGATTCTGTGCGTGCCGTGCGAGGATGGCCCTCTCTGTACAAGGACACCCGGCATCTGTACATACCTCGCAGCCGTGGATCCTGCCAAAAGAGTTACACACAGGAGCCAGGCGGTTCACGGCTATTGCGTGGGGATAATACTGCCTCCCACTCTTTGAGAGTGGCGACCGGTGGCATACAATGAGGTTTGTCCATCTTACCCGCTGAACATATGCTTGTATCCTGCTTGTCTAGAATCTCCCAACACAAACTCCACACTGTTCGAGGGTGGTCTCCTCACAACAACCGAAGCGTGTAAGCCCACAAAACCACATCACACATGAAACCGCAGTGCTGCAGTAAAGCCACCGCGTCGATAAGTTCAGCAGGGCACATCACTCAATTCGCATGGCGCAGGCGAACGCTGAGCGCTTCGGTTCACTTTGCGCGGCGCTGCCTGCAGACATAGGTGGCCGTTTGGAAAGATCGCTGGTAAATGGAACCAAGCCCATCTAAACCCGTGGGACCCAGATATTTGAATCCAAACTAGCCTGGATGGCACAGAGCCAGCGGCAAATGGACTGGTACTCTTGGACGCGAAGGACATTCCCCGGGCCAGCAACATGACGGACAGCACCAGACCATTTTTACCCAAACTCACCTAACACGGACGCGGCGCCTGCAGATCTCCAGATGCTTCCTGAGCTGCTCCAGCGTCGCCAGTTTCAGGCCCATGGGCACTTCCTCTCCCAGCCTCGCGGATTCGGAAGGCGGATTCTCCCAGCAGGGTCCTCCAGATTTGAGAGATTAGAATAAGTTGGTGCCCGAACTGTTTGTTTCTTCTGCGGTCTATTTTAGTAGACGAAAACCCTCCCAACCAAAAAAGGGGAGAGAAGCACTATATACTGGGAGACCTAGACAAGTTTCCAGAACTCCAGTCGTGAGAGGGCGTACGAGCACCGAAGATGGTGGGTTTACAATATGTTCTTTCCATGTCCACAAAGGGAAATGGGGGAAGGGGGCCCTCAAAGTGATGATTTCCCTGGAAAACAACAACCCAAAAGGCTACCCTTTAACAAAAAACCGATTCCCTCCATACACCGACGCTCCTGGCTGTCATGGGGAATTTTGTTTGGGGATGGACCAAGCTCACAACAGTCCACATTCACTCTGGGAATGACACAGAGGCGCCCGAGCCCCAAGTCACAACTAGGACGCGTGCTTCTTCAGGTCTTCCACTAGTGCCCTTTTACCTTTTTTTTGGGAGGCTTCCCTTAGTAAAATGGACTACAGAAAAAAGTTGGTACCCTTGTTCTAACCTCTCTACTGGAGGACCTAGACGTGCTTCTTCACCAGGCCAGGGCACCACGAATATTGATGGCTTCGAAGGAGCTTCCATAGCTGACAAGTTCACTTGTCGATTTGTTCGGGGAGGGCCTGGCTGTCAGGGGTTAGCATGATACCCTGGAACAAGATGGACTTGGGCGGGGGAAAGCCCCAGGTTTCCCGTTTCTGTAGACCAACCCCTCTGTGGACCTCAAGAAACCCACCAATGCTGTCGCCTGTAGTACTGCTCGGTGATGCGGCCCAAGAGCTCCTCCTTCTCTCTCTGCTCTGACAGCTCGTTGGCGCGGGCCTCAAACCGTCGGTTTACCGTCGGTTTACCGTCGGTTTACCGTCGGAACGGTTTGAGCGTGCCACACACGGCAAAGGTGAAGGGGGGGTTGAGGAGACTGCATTTTCAGGAGTGTTGAGAAGACTCCATTTTAAGACACACCCAGTTGAGTGTCTTTCCTCTTTTGGGCTCTTGGGGGGGAATGAACCAGCCCTGGTTTCCGTCTACCCTGAAGTGGTCAAAAAGTGGAACCCTGCCTCCACCCCCCCCCTCCTTGGAGGTGCCGGGCGCCACTTGCCGCTTCTGCGCCGCTTCCAGCGCCTGCAGCCGCCGCTCCGCCGAAGTCGCCGAAGCCGCCGAGGCGGCGGCGGCGCTGGGACCCTCGGAGCTGCCGCCGAGGCGTTGGCCAGTCCTCGGGGAGGGGGGGAGGGCGGGGGAGTCGGGGGGAGAAGGGGGGGAGGCGCCTTTGGTGGGGTGAAAAAGGCTCCCGAATGGTGTTGTACCGAGTTTATTGCCCAACTTGCAACCAAAAGCGGGGAGTCATGTCCAACGGCTTTGAGGTCGCTCCATATTACTAGGTCCTCCAGCCCTTTTGTCTGCAGTCGATTTTAGTAGGGGAACCAGGGGAACCCTCCCCAAAAAAGTTGGTAAAAGTTGGCACTGCTGGGGGACCTAGATTAATATTGAAGGCGCTTAGAAAACACACAGAAAGGGGACGTACAGCCAAGGTAGGTTGTAGCCATGGTTGCTAGCCCCTTACCAAGTACCCTGCCCTTTTCAGTTTGTCTCCAATGAGTACAGATCTTTTTTGGTTTCCTTTCACATCCAAAAGACGGGTCTCCTAAAAGAAGTTGAGCAAGAAAATGGGTCTGGAAATGAGTGTTTGTGTCAAAATTTAGGACCCAGGAGCCGCTGTCTCAAATATTGCGTATATTTGTTTAACCATCTGGGCTACCAAATGAGTGGTACATCAAGTAATCCCATCTCTATGTCACTTCGTTGTGGGGATTCCTTTGGTCGTAGCGTTGAAGCTTGGGCCAAAGCAACTTGTTTTTGGATGTGTTGGTCAGCAATGCCATAGTGTGTGCAACCCCACAAGGAATGCTAACGATGACAAAGCCTTGTTTCACAAGCTAGTGCCTGCAAAGATGCGTCATTGGCCAAGAACGGACAAGGGCCCAAGCCAACACAGGTTCCGTTGGGTTGGTGTTCAGATGATGGGATTGCCATGACATACTTGAGAAGGTGCAAAGAAGCATAGGCCGTGGCACATGCCCAAACTGAAAAGCAACTGTGTAACAACAACGAAGCAAGCAAACAAGCAAGGAAGCGAGCGAGCGAGCGAGCAAACAAACAAACAAACAAACAAACAAACAAACAAACAAGCAAGCAAGCAAGCAAGCAAGCAAACAAACAATCAATCAAACAAACAAGCAAACAAACAAGCAAGCAAGCAAGCAAACAAACTAACACACGAACAAACAGACAGACAAAGAAGCAAACTGGCAAAGAAAGAGACAAACAAACATTGGCAGGCAAATTTCCCAGGTTGCCGCACAGAATCTGGGTTGAAACGTCATAGTATAAGGGGCTGGAAGCATAAGGGGCTGGATAGCTACAAACAGTATATCCCAGGATCATGAGAGTTGGTCTAATAACACCGCACCAATTACATGCGAAGCCACACCCTGAAGCTCCCAACCACCGGGCACCAAATCACCAAATAAGGGTAAGATGAAGGTAGATTAGCTTGGTGCCACCCCATTCAAATTCTTTGGGTGGTTCGTTTGCCTTTGAGCATTTCTTTAATGGCAAAGCCCTTTGTTTACCAAAGGTCTAAGGGTCTGAGGGGCTGGGGCTAGGTCCTCCAGTAGAGAGGTTAGAATAAGCGTACCCTTTTTTTTCTGTAGTCTATTTTAGTAGGGGAACCCTCCCAACCAAGAAAAGGGGTGAGAAAGGGCACTACTGGTGGGGGACCTAGAAGGTCACACCAAAGACCAGTGTTGTTTCGGCCTAGGTAGCGTGTAAGCGTGTACGCGTGTGCCGGTGCTGACAAGGAGCGGTCCGGTGCCCCAGTCTTGTCCTCAGTACGCTGAGGAAGGCCATGCCAAAGTCATTGCCAGGGTCAAAACGCCTTGTAGCTCGGTTGCGAAATCTGCTCCCCTAAAAGTGACTAACTTTTAGTGGTTTAATACGGAAAACTCATCAGTTGGCAAAAAGACAAAGTCCTAACATCCAGGCAAAATGCACCAAAGGGTAGTCATGGCTCCTTTCCCCTGCCAACCTCACCAATTTCGTGTAAGAGGATGTCTTCATCCTGGCGCATTGGGCCACCCCCAGCCAAAAGTATCACTGTCAGAATGTCTCCCTCCAGCTTAGCTGCGACCAAAAAGCCCCGGGCGCTCTCGGACCCGTAGCTCATAGCTTGCACGGGGCCCATAGCTTCCCCTGCCTCCAACCAGTCTCAACCTCCTCCAAAGCCCCCTCAGCCCCTCCATTTGCTGAAGTCCCCTGGAAAAATAAAAAAAAAAACATATGTCCAGTAGTGATAGGTTCCCTTAAAACCAACAAGGGAAAATAACACATATTCTTATATAACCAAATGGAAGAGCCCCTCCCCCCAACCCTCCCCTTCATCCTGCAACCCCCCAAACCCAACCCCCAAACCCAGCGGCTCGCGCGGCGATGCGCGGGCCGGGCACCCGTCTGGTCCTCCCGGAGGTCTCGCAAACGCCGGGGCTCCTCGAACAAACTGTGCAACATGTGTACATTTGTATGTATGTATGTATGTATGGATTTATGTGTGTACGTATGTCTATCTGTTTAGACACACACACACACACGCACGCACGCACGTATGCACGCACGCACGCACGCACACAAGCACGCACCGCACGCACCGCACGCACGCGCACACAAAAATACACAAATGCACAAACACAGAAACACACAAACGCACAAATACACAAATACACAAACACACAAACACACAAACACACAAACGCACATACACAAAAACACAAAACACAAAAAAAACACACACAGACACACAAAACACACACAGACACCACTTACAGACACACACTCACTCACACGTACACGCAGACACAGAGACACAGCTACACAGAGACACAGGTACACAGAGACACAGAGACACGGCTGCACAGAGACACAGAGACACAGCTGCACAGAGACACGGCTACACAGAGATACAGGGACACAGCTACACAGAGACACAGCTACACAGAGACACAGCTACACAGAGGTACAGAGAGAAAAAGCTACACAGAGGCACAGAGACACAGAGAAAAAGCTACATAGAGGCACAGAGACGCAGAGACACACAGGCACACAGAAAGCAGGCACACAGACACAGACAGACACGTCACACACACACACCACACACACACACACACGACGACACACGACACGACACACGACACACGACACACGACACACGACACACGACACACGACACACGACACACGACACACGACACACGACACACACACACACACACACGCCGCTGCAAACACAACACCCACACACCGCCGCGCGCGAGCCCCCCTCTGATGCTATCGCCTGCTGCAGCGTGTTCGCGAGAAGGGATGTCAAATCTGGCAAAATCATCACTCTATAGGCTCATGGAAATCAAGAGAGTTTCAAACTAGCAGGCGCATCATCAAGTAAATAATCTTGTTCTGCGTTCAGAAGGGCCGCACTCGGTCAAAGCACACTGCCCGCGAGAAGACTCGCAAGGGGAAGGGAAACCTTCCCATCTACCGCCGTTCGCCGGGGCTTGGTGGTTTGTGCCTTGGTGCACGATGTCCAAAGTCCACGTCGCGGCAACCCTTGGGTGTCCTTGTCGATCAGCTTGCTTCAACGTTTTCATTTTGATTCACTGGCGATATTCCCCGGTGGCATGAAACCGAAGTCTCTTCAGTTGGGCAGACTCCTCGACTCCAGCCTTGCTGCCGCAGCAGAACATGGCAAATGGGCGAAAGAAGGTACGGGGGAGTTCGAATCTGCGGAAGGCTCGAGCCGAGGTTCGAGGCAAGGTCTTGTTCTTGAGGAACTTGCCAAGGATTTGAAGGTTGACCCTTGATGATTACTGGGGAAATAGATGGCCCTGGTGGATGAGTAAACCACCAGGTAAACCAGGAATCGCCATCTATTTGTTTAAGCAAAACAACCAAAAAGGAGACCTATGGGCACATCTTGCTCTTGGCATCGCTCCCCCTCTCCCCCCGCGCCCCGACCATTTTTTGGGGCCCCTGCCAGGGATGCCGCTCGGACCAGCGAAGACCTCGCACCGGGCGAGCATGCGGCGACCTGTTGATGCAACCCATTTTTGTTGGACTCGGTGGTGGCTTTGGGGTAGTGGTTTCGGGGGGGGGGGAACCGATGCCAGGGGGAGGCAGTAAATGGTACATGGGGTATATATTAAAAAAAATAAAAATAAACTTGGTGGTACCCTGGGTGTGTTTATTCAATATCCTAGGGTGGTGGATTTGTGGTTAAACTATATAGTGGTTTCGGGGGGGGGGACTGATGCCAGGGGGAGGCAGTAAATGGTGCATTTTGGTCCCTTGGGTCTGTTTCTCGAAATACGAAGAGTGTCAAAGTGATGTAATACGTGGGGTAGTGGTTCGGGGGGTGATTGGGGGGTAGCAGTTTGGGGTTGGTGGTTTGGGGGGTGTTGGTTTGCAGGGTAGTGGTTCGAGGGCCCCCGAAATTCTCTTAGAATCCCTTTGTCAGGGGTTCCATCCATCGGAACATTACCCAAAATGGCTTCGGTTTCCTTTGGTGGAAAAACGGGCAGGAAACCAAATAGCCATGGCCTTAGGCGACCTTTTGGAAATGGAGATGGACTTTATTTGGTGAATGGAACAAAACCAATCCAAACCACTTCTAATCAATCTAACCGAAAAAGGACACGTATGGCCATGTCTTGTGAAAGTTGACAGGAAGACTGTGGTCCCGTTCTACACTTCTAGCGATCTCAACCAGACACCTACGAAGCCCAAAATTGCCAGGCTGCGTGTAGTGTTCCGTACTTGCATACATGTTCTTCCGCTTTGAAGACGGTCGAAGACTTTGGAACACGGGCAACAGGTGACGTTGGGAGGCTTCTCGGGCGATTCAAGCCCTTGTTTGAACCATGGGTGAAAGCCCCATTGTGGAAACGGCCTCGTTTGGGCTACCCTAGGCAACCAGGGTCTGGTTGTTTAATCACATGTTTTCCAGCATTGATTCTCTGAGTCGACGACTAACGACAACATGCCATCGTTTTCGCGGACTGGTCCACAGACGGCCGCCGCGTCGCCAGTTCCATGTGAAGCATATGCACACCTATGTGTGCATGACGGCCCTTCTGGGCGTTCAACCCCAAAATCACAATCCACCCCCAGCAGGAACATAAGTATATAACCGCTAGATACAGGGTACCTGCAGACCACTCGGGCCCTCCGCAAGCCCCGCAAGTAACCCAAAGATGCTGCCTGCACAAAAGGGTAGCCTCCCTTCATGTCTAGTAACGGTACATAAAAGGGTCTGAAACCCTGTTCTGAAACCCACGTTTACCTCATCTTGGCCCACATGTAAAGGACACTGCAAACAATAAGCTCAGATTATGCTTCATGTTTACCCTACCCTTTATGTGTATATATATATATATATATATGTGTTTATGTATATATGTGTATATAGATATATATATATATATATATTGTTATGTACATATATATATATGTATTTATGTACAAACATCCTTATGCATATAACCACCCTTATACCAAAAATCATAACGTATGTGCATCTATATATACATATATATACATATATGTATATGTACAAAATCAGTATACATATACTCACCTTATATACGAAGATATCCACATCTAGCCGCGGTGAAGTGATCCTGTGCCCAAGGTGTCTCCCTCCAACCCCTGATGGCTGAGGAAGCCGCGCTGTGTGACCTGGGCCCGAAAATGAGGATGACGCGCCACAAGTGACACCAGAATAGTATATTTGGCTGTGGGTCAAAAAAGGGTACCCAAAATGGAACCCTGGTAAATGGAACCCATGACTAAAACCTGCGGTCCCCTGGTGGTTTAATTTGGACCCACACCCATATAACAAACAAGACAATGGAAATAGGGAGTATTGTGGGGCAAGGGAAATGTGTTATGTTTCCGCAAACAAGACCGTGGATGGACGAACTTTGCAACAATAGGGAAAAACTCGGGGAAACTAGTATGTGTTTTTTTCCCGCAAACAAAACCTGCAAGGGAAATGACAAACTTTGGCAAGGGAAAACATGGGGAAAGGGATCTTCGTATCTATAACAAACAGTACCGCGGATGGACGAAATCCTGCAAGAATAGAAGAAATCATGGGGAAAGGGATACCATCATAAGAAAACATGGTGTAGATACAACACGTTGAAACCATGGGGAAACCCATTGTTGGTCGAAGTTTGCAGGGGAATCGTCACATCCACAGTATGTAGATATATTTCAGGACCCGGCAAGAATGGCGCAACGCCGTCCTTTTGGCGTCCCTTTAAAACCCAGAAAAAGGGGGGGGGTCCCTAAACAAATACACACCCGCGTATGATAAACAATAATATATCATGAATGATATGAGATGTGCAATACGCATACATATATGCATTAATAAATGACATGTAAGTAATATGACACATGATATGCAATATGCAATATATAGATAGCAAATGACAAATATATATACATATATATATATATGTATACACAATGTAGTATGTGTGTGTGTGCGGAATGGTCAAAATGTACTATACCCTCTGTGAACATGGGTATATTGAGGTCAGGAACCACATCTGCCATGGTCAAGACTGCTTGGGTCAAAGTCGTGGTTCCCGTAATAAGAATCTGCGTTAAAATGGCTGGCGAGGACTATTACTTCAGAGCTGAGAATCCTGCCCCATGCAACAATGCGGTTTGACCATGGCGCACAAATGTCCAGATGATAATATGTTCGGAATCTGTTTCATATTTCGTCTACCCGAAGATATATACTAGTTTTGGAAGAGACCCCAGAATGGGTGTTGAAAGATACTTGAAGGGGTGTTGAAAGATGCCTAAAAAACAAACTCCAGACTAGGTGTTGAAACATGCCAAGCACAAACTGAAAAACCAAAGGCTCGGTATCGGATTCGACTGGGTATCGAAGCATGCCCCAAAAAAAAACACAAAAAACCAAAGGCTCGGTTGAATCCCAAACCCCCACACCCCCACACCCGTGCCACCCCCGTGCCGAGGTCCCGGGCGCCGCATAAAGCTCAAGTGCATCTGCTGGGTGACGTGCTCCAGCTCGATCTGTGGGAAAAAACCGGGCTGAGCATAGCCCAGGTTTGATTAAGGTTGAGCCAAGGGCACAAGACATGGAGACTCCCAGCACCCCAGGTGCTAGAAAAAAAGGTTGCGCCAAGGGCGAGGGGAACCAAACATGGAGGCTCCCGCAACCCCAGGTGAGAAAAAAAAGGGTTGACCCATCAGGGCGAGAAAATTTTCGAAGTGGGGCTGTGGATTGATTTTGTTTGGGGCTTTCTGAGTGTGGCTGTGAATTGATTTTGTTTGGCGGGGGTTGACCCAAGGGAGAGAAAATTCCAAGTCATGTGGCCATGGGGCTGGCATGTCACGGGAAACAAGCAGGGAATCAAGTATGTGGGAAGTCCCCGAATTCTGAGACACACCCACGTGCCCAAAAAGTGCAAAGCTTGGAATTGTGTGAAGCCCCTGAGCGCGAAGAAGACCTTTCATGAACAGGGTCTGTGGACATGCCAAGTACATAAACAAACCAAGGCGATGTTCAAACTTTCGTATAGCACCAAAAGGCCCTTGAAAAGGGTTGAACAACCTAAGCCAGGGGTTCCTGACATAAACAAAGTGTTTAATTTAGGACAGCCCCGAGATGGATGTCCTCTAAACCAAGGGGTTTTCGAGCACCCAATGAAGCAATAGTCGAAACTTGCTATCAACATGGTTTACCCAGGGCCCATGTAAAGGATTGAAAAGGCGGCCAAAGGCGGCCTTTTATGGCTGGGATTGTCCCTTACTACCTTCCAATTACCCTGTTGAAAGTGATCAAATGGGGACAATGCAACTCTTGCCAAGGACAAGCCAGAGTCAATATTCGTCGTGTCCAAAACTAAACCCATTCCCTGGTAGTTTAGGAGTGTGACCCATGTCATCCCCTTTACTAATGTGCTACAGTAGATGGAAAAATTAATCAAACGGCCAACAGATGCGGCGCACACCCCCCCGTACCCCCCAATGTCAATGTTACACTAAACGCAAGTGCTTTTCATGTCATGGGGGTTTGATTTAATTCGTCCACCCAACCCGACCCTACAAACGGGCAATAACATTGAAATTGGGGTTCGAGGGGGGGCGTTACAGCTGTAAGGGTTTGATTAAATCGTCCACCTACCAGTAGATGGACAAATTAATCAAACCGCCAACAGATGCGGCGCACACCCCCCCGTACCCCCCAATGTCAATGTTACACTAAACGCAAGTGCGTTTCATGTCATGGGGGTTTGATTTAATTCGTCCACCCAACCCGACCCTACAAACGGGCAATAACATTGAAATTGGGGTTCGAGGGGGGGCGTTACAGCTGTAAGGGTTTGATTAAATCGTCCACCTACCAGTAGATGGACAAATTAATCAAACCGCCAACAGATGCGGCGCACACCCCCCCGTACCCCCCAATGTCAATGTTACACTAAACGCAAGTGCGTTTCATGTCATGGGGGTTTGATTTAATTCGTCCACCCAACCCGACCCTACAAACGGGCAATAACATTGAAATTGGGGTTCGAGGGGGGGCGTTACAGCTGTAAGGGTTTGATTAAATCGTCCACCTACGGTAGGTCCTCCAGTAAAGAGGTTAGAATAAGGGTGCCCGTTTTTCCGTACTCTATTTTAGTAGGGGAACCCTCCCCGCACAACAGGGTAAAAGGGCACTACTGGGGGACCAGTATAGATGACAGTAAAAA